ATTCTCTATTTTGTCGTATCTTTTACTCTCTCAATATATGATATACACTTGTTCTAACATTTGATACTTTGATAAGTGTTTTTATAGTCTCATTGTTGTAAAATATTTTTTGATGTATCCTTATTTCATGCTTTTCAACCTATGTTGGCTTTTCTTCTAAAACTATGTAACAGTGCTAATATTGTTTTTTGTAACAATACTTGTCTCTCATTGACCCTCATTTTTCACTATTATTCCATGTAAATACATAGGTTAGTCAATAAGTTCTCGGACTTTCAAATATTTATTCATAGACAAAACATTCTACTAATCTTTTTACAGTAAATGTTCGAAGTAGTCCCCACGATGTTCAATACAAAGTTTCATCCTTTCAATCCACTTCTGGAATGTCTTTTGATATTCTTGAATATGTATTGAATTGAGCTCCTTGGCTATTGCTTTAGCTAAACTTGTAGCATCTGGATATGTATCAAGACTACGTTTCAGACAACTGAACAACCAAAAGTCTGAAGGAGCAAGGTCTGGTGAGTATGGTGGATGAGCCATAACTTTGATTTTTTCTTCTTGAAGATAATTAAAAACGATATCATTCATATGTGGTCTTGCATTATCATGATGGAGCTTAATGCCATTTGTTGTTGATGATGGTCTTTCTTTGTGTAACTTTTGGACTAAGATTTTTAAACATTCATCACGATAATATATGGCATTGATTAATGTTCCGGATGGTAACTGATGAATAAGTAATGGTCCAGTTGTCATAAAAAAAATAACGAACATCGTTTTTTCTTCAAATTGTTGTCTTCTTACTTCTGTTGGAGGACTTTGTCCTTTCGCTACCCATGCTTTAGATTCTTGTTTTGATTTAATTTTGCGATGATAAAACCAACTTTCATCACCGGTGACTATATCACCTAATTTCCATGCACCACTTTCAAACTTATGTAAATTTTCAATACAGATTTCAACACGTCGTTGTTGTTGTGCTGGAGTGAGTTTATGAGGTACCCATCTTGACGATATTTTTTTTAACTTTAGGTGTTCCTTGAGAATGGTATACACACTACCATGTGATATATCTAAGATGTCAGCAATATAATCAATACTAATATGAGGGTCATCTTGCACCAGGTCTTTAACAGCATCAATATTTTGTTGAGTAATGATGGTTATTGGACGACCACTTCGAGGATCATCTTCTAACGACTCCCGTCCACTTGAAAATCGATGAATCCAATGAGCAACTGTACTATATGAAACTACACCTTGTCCATAAGCAGTAGTTAATTCATCATGAATTTGTGTAGCATTTAAACCTAATAACCAACGAGTTTTTATATATGAACGTAAACAGAGTTTATCCATCTGAAAACAGGGCTATTCAAAAAATTCGTTGAAAATTTGCCATAATAGATATTTATGAAACTTCATATTGGTATTTTAATAGATAACAGATGTCGCTACTAGAATAGGCCAACATGAGAAATAAAACCAATCCGGATAAAAAATTAGAGTACTGTTCCGAGAACTTTTTGACGACCCTATGTAATATCTGTTTTGAGTAGAATAACTTTACATGTATGCACTGACCAGCTGTTTGATAAGTGAATGTCATCAGTACTATCTTTTTTATGCTGATATGTCTTGTATGTTCGTCTACATGCTCATCAATTACTAGAAATCTACTCTGAGAAATCAATGTCCGCCTATTCAGATATAAATTAAAATGTTTTCAAGATCTAAGACAGTTTATTTTTGATATTAGAACTCCTACCACAGCCTATTGAAGCCATGCATAACAGATGTTTAACTATTATTTAATGAATATCTCATTAACCAACCGATCCACATGTAATTTGTGATATAAAAATTATTTGTCAAGTCACGTTACTACATCGAAAAAAAACGGCTCAAATGAAAAATAAAATTTTTGACGAAAAGACATCATCCTACAAGATTAAGAATGTGAAGTATATATGGTAACAGCAACAAAATTTATCATCTTCAATAAATGGATTTTTGTAGGATTCAATGACGGGTCCAATCGAACGAGTCGAAGCATATGTAAACCGGTGACATGACAGTTGAGTATCGGACAGTTAAGCACCGACAGTTGAGCACAGACAGTTGAGCATCGTAACACTTGAGCTCCCGACATTAGAGCATTTAACAATTGAGCACCTTAACAATTGAGCATCTTAACAATTGAGCATCTTGATAAGCATGGTTTCATTTTGTGTTCATTATGGACGTATTCTATAAAAATAATACGGATTGCACGCAGGATAAATCAAAATATTTGAAGTAAACTTGGTTATCGTGTTGGTAGATCATACAATATGATTGTATACTTTAAATAAACGATAATCGTTAGAGTCACTTGGTGCTCATGATTAGTATTGACTATTAAGAGAACAATTAAAGATCAGAAGACATGAATATGCTGTGTTCTATCTATTTAAATGAAATTGTTGTGCTTTGATCATGTTACATAAGAAATTCGTCACGGCTGATGTGACTATATGAATAGCTAATTAATTGATCAAAACTTAGTCATATATATGCATACACGCACAGAAATAATGATATATTTTTCACTTTAATTGAACGTTAACCTTGTTCAAATGTCAATCGTACAATCTTGTAAAGGCAAGGATCAACTTCTTCTTGATGGCTATCGTTACCGTCATACAAACAAAAGTTTAATCAATTGGCGATGTGTAAAACATAATTGTAATGGAAGTGCAATGTTTGATGGTGCGCAATATGTTAAATTAAACGATCATATCCATCCACCCAATCCTGATGAAGTGATAGCTGCTGAATTCAAATCGAAAATCCAACAACGTGCAACAACGTCATATGATCCACCTAGACGAATTATACATGAAGCTTTGCTAAATGTGCACAAAGATGATGCTCTTGCTTTGCCAAGTTATGCAGCTTCACAACGTTTAATTGGACGCAAGCGCAAGAAAAATAACATTTCACTTCCAAACCCAACATGCTTTCAAGATATTGTTATTCCAGATCAATTAAAGTTGACGAATAGTGGCGATAGATTCTTACTCTATGATAATGAAGACAACGATTCCAGAATAATTATATTATCCAGTGACGATGATTTAAAACGACTATCACAATGTGATCACTGGCACGCTGATGGAACGTTCAGGGTAATTAAATATAAGTTTTTAATGAGTGATAGCTAATACGATCACGTGCAAAATAAAATCTTTTTTAGGTGGCTCCTCAGCTTTTTTATCAACTATACACTCTACATGGTGTCATTAGGGGACGCTCATTACCATGTGTATATGCTGTTCTTCCAGGCAAATCTGAATCTGTTTATGATAAGTTATTTCATGTAATTTTGCAGCATGTGACTAAACATCCTCGATCAATTTCTATTGACTATGAAAAGGCGGTGGAAAATATTGTCAAACGCAAAATGCCAGCATGTGCGATCAGTGGCTGTTTTTTTCATTTAAAGAAAGCTCTATGGAAAAAGATACAGGTAAGAGTTTATCATTTAGACACTGATTGTGTGTAAAAGTCTGACTCATAATATCACTTATCAAATCTTACTTTATAGAGTCTTGGTCTTCAACAAAAATTTGTTGATAATCGTGAAATTCGACACAACCTGAAGGATTTTGCTTGTTTATCATTAATCCCAGAGACTTTTGTTGTAGAAGAATTCGAAAGAATTCAAGAAGAATCTTCCGATGAAATAAACGGTATGTAGTTTTACAGAAACAACTGACAGAGAAGTATTTATACTATTGACGATATGATCTTGTAGGCTTCATCGATTATTTCGAGGACAACTACGTGGGACGTCGAATACGGAATGACCGTCGTCGTACACCTCGTTTTCAAATAAAATTTTGGAATTGCTACTCTCGTTTACAGCAACGACTTCCACGTAGCAATAACTCGTCTGAAGGGTGGCATCATGCTCTGAATGTAATATGAAGTTTTAAGAATGAATATTCTTCTATTTGCATCCTTTTCTTTTCAGAATTCAGCTCGAGCAAACCCATCTATTTATGAATCCATTAAAGACCTTCAAATGGAACAACATGCTAACCTAATCATGGCTGAACGATTAGACGCAGGGATCGTGAAATTGACAAAACGTATTGAATATGAACAAATGGATGAACAACTTCAATCTCTGGCTGCAAGTTTTTCTACAATAACAAGAAAGGAATATTTCAAAAGAGCAAGAGCTTTGTTCAATTTCTGATTTCATTATATTCTTTCTTTGGTTGTAATAAAATGTTGTTTGACTAAACTGCAAGCTCAAGTATAAAAGGCTCCACTGTTAAGATGCTCAATTGTTAAGATGCTCAATTGTTAAGGTGCTCAATTGTTAAATGCTCTAATGTCGGGAGCTCAAGTGTTACGATGCTCAACTGTCTGTGCTCAACTGTCGGTGCTCAACTGTCAGATGCTCAACTGTCTATGTACCGATAGAATTGTCATGGCTTTCAGGAAATTTTGGTGACTGTTCACTTCCTTGCATATATAGGAGAGAATACATTGATTGAATCAAATATTTTAGTTAAGCACGTTATCAAATCAGTCACTGTAAATGTATATTCTGTTATGTATTATTTAGGTCCAGATGATAAAGAAATATCGCCTTCAAAGAAAAAAATAATTCATTTATATAAAAAAGATCAGCAAATTTTTGTATGGAAGTACAAGTCTACTATAAAGCGACACACAATGAAAATCATTTAAGAAGATAATTTGCGCAGAAATCTTAAATTAAGAGCAACCGAAAATTAAAGCAACATTTATGGTTTTTTTTATGTCTACGAATCATTCAGTATTTTCAAGGGTAAATGTCTTTATTTGAAAAGTTCCTGGAGCAGTAGATGAATAGATTATGGAAATTTTTGAAATCAGTTTAGGTTCTCGATGCAACGGAGAATAAAAAACTAATCGTATTAAATTTTCTAACTGTATTATTCTACGAAAATGTTATTTTTTAAATATAGTCCATATAAATTTTAAAACAATAACTAAACCTAGAAAGAAATTTTAAGAAATTTTAATTTAAGTATTAAATTATTTCTAATTAAAAGATAAATCTATATTGAATTTGCTTTAGTTAAGGTAATTGATTTATAAATTTAATTTCTTTTTAAATTTAGATGTGTAGAGTTTGAGATAAAATTAAACTGTAATTTTTGTCAATTTAAATTTAAAATACATAAGCGATTGGTTGATATAAATTATTTGAAAAAATAATCATCAAAAAATAGCCTAAAGACTAAAAGCAATTATCTATTAAAGTGTTTAATTATATAATATACGAGACTAGGTAAATCACTTAATTCAATCAACGTATTCTCTTCTATATATGCGACGAAGTGTACTAGCGCCAAAATTTTGTGAATTCTGCCCGATATTTTCTTATACTTTGGTATAAAAGTCGATACTTGCTTTCTATAATTATCTTTAGTAAGTATAAGAATACCACAGCTGCGTACCTCAGATATGAACACGATTCTTTTTGAATGTGAGAGGCGTATGTAGTTGGTATTTAATTCACACAGAACAGTTGTTAGTAATTTAACCAATGATGTTCGTCTCAATACTATTGTTTCTAATCGTCATAATGACTTTATAAATATAATTTTCACATTTCGTAAAATCTTATTGAGGAACTAATGGTGTCTTCTGTGAACTATAAATCATATTCTTTTAATGTTCGTAGTTGTATATCAGTGAAAGTGTAATAAATCATTGAAGTTAGGGTGTGGGGTGGTGTGGGTGTGGGTAGGGTGTGATGGGTGTGAATGTGGGTGTGGGCGTGGGTGGGTGTGGATGTGGGTGGGTGGGTGTGGGTGGGATTGGGCGTGGATGTGTCGTCCTCCCTCGATCACACCCACACCCGCACCACACCCACACACCCACACCACACACCCACACCCACACCCATACCCACACCCACTCCTAGTTGTGTTCTAAATTGTTTGGTACTTCCCAAAATTCTAAAATTTTTAAACTTTCCAATATTTCCAAAAATTTTCATTTGCTTTGTTATGTAGTTATCGAGTTGATGGAAACTTCGGAAATCTGAACATACCTCGTCATGGTCGTTTCCATTCCCTGCCGAAGCAACCTCACGTCATTCCTCATCATAAAAATTCTAGATTCACGAATGAATCAAAGTTATATTAAGAATTTGATAAAAATAGTGAAGCCAATAAAGGAAAATAAACTCTATCATAGACTTTCTCTGTCTTCGAAAAATAAAATTCTGCTAAGAATTTGAAAACAAGAAGAAATTCAATAATGGAAGATAAACTCTTCGAAATATATTCTTTTCTTGATAAAAACGAAATTTTTCTTATAATTAAAAAAAAACGCAACAATCTGTGTCAGAATACTAACTTCAATAGCAAAGTATATCATTAATATTCACTCTCTTGAAGAAATATACACAATAATGCATCATTTTAACAAGAAGAGTTCAATTAAAATTCTGTTGATATTTTTCAATAATGAACAGAATTCTCGAGTATGAAAAAGATCATGTCATGTTTAGTATTTCAGATTCTGAGTTTTGTCTGACAAACATTCTACAGTTATCTTTTTTCTATTATTTAAAATCTGTCATTTACTCTTTGATCCAGTTTTATTTTTATTGTATATAATTTTTTTTGTATATTATTTTTAGGCATCTAATCAATTAAAAAAGGGCGCATTAATTATTGTTCAATATATTGAATTTAGCATTCCTAGTTGTCATTGTAGTTCAAATGAATCAGTTAATATTGGTAAACATCTTGTACCTGTTCTCAAGATTTATATACTTAATTTACATACATTACGTCTTTGGTGACCAGATGATTTTCTTTGAACAACTGGTTAGTGTATTTTTAAATAAAAGAAATATTAGCTACGATAGTTTGGCAGATATTTCTATGTCAAGGTGAATGAAAACTTTCTTTTCTTGAGATTTTGGACAACAATTGTTTTTATATTAATTGAATATATGGATGAATTCGTGGGTTCCTCATCGCTTTTGTGAAAAAAAGCTTTTTTTATAAAGGTGGTAGAAACTCTACACATTCATCCATATCTGACTTAGTAAAGACTTAGTACATCGAAAGTAGATTTTGATTTTTGAAAAGTCCTTGTTTTCTTTTCTTGAAATGTTAGAATCTGGGCAGAAAATAAACTTAATCTTACTGAAAGAACTTTGAAAAAAGCTTATCAATATAGTTCTTAATGAAATGAAACGTGGATTTCAGATATCTTTTCCAGCTTTCTTATATTAATGTTACAGTTCTGTGGAACAAACTTTTCCGTATCTCAATGCTTTTTTCGAATTGCCCCGATTGTCCCAATTATCAGAAGAAATATAAAGAAATGATTCTATTCAAGAATAGTCTGCCTTTTCTATAGAACCAGTATAAAAAATGTGTCTGTATATATGATTATCAGACAAATTAGCTATTTATTTTGGTATATCTCAAGAAAGACACATCGATTTTCGCTGAAACTTTTAGCGTATACTAAGGATCATGGAACCTACATATGGGCATAAGTTCAAGTCGAAATTTCCTGATTTGATATTTTTGTAAATATCCTGCCACAGACTGAAAACTCACTAAAACGCTCATAATTTTGGAAGAAAGGCAAGTGAGCCCTTATCTTTTTAAATGTTACTTTTAAAACTTTTAATCACCTGAGGGAGAATTCTCTAGTTAGAGATCTAAAATCTGACATAAGAACGAGTCTTAGTCGATCTTTGTCAAGTCGAGTTCGAGCACGATCAGCAATAATATGGGATTTATTGGATTCGAATATTCGTTTGCGAATAGTTTCATTCATCAAATATTTCAATATATTTTACACATTTGAATTTACCATTGAATATATGACACTGTTGGATATATGAAGTTTCATGTAAAATAAAAAGTATTTAATGGACACATCGAATATCGAATCAAATATCCGATTTTCTTTTCTTTTTATTCTATTTCACTCGTTTCAATAGATATTTTATTGCTCTATGCAATATTAATAGGATATACACACATACTTTCGAACAAAGAGCGAACAAACGAAAAGAAAAGAGATAAAATATCTCCCATAAAGCCATTTCTTTAAGAGACTACAGCACAAGAATTTCGTTCAATAACAATATAGTTTTTCAATAATTATTGAAATCAATCTTTCAGATATCCTATCGTGAGTTTAATCCATAAATGATTTTTTGTTTTTCAAATAATATTTTATTTTTTTTTGGTAAATCATTAGAAGCTAATGCAATTGATAGTAAGGGTGTGGGTATTTCCTTCACTCACATCCACACTCTCTTGATTCACCGCTAAAAGAAAAAAGAATAAAAATCATCAGATGTCATTACTTGGCAAGGAAAAAAAAAAGATTTCTTTTGTTTAGGAAAGAGCCAGAACATAATTGTGCAATTAAAAAACGAAAACGAACAACACAAAGTGATGTGTGTAAGAAGCAGTTGTTGCATTCTTCAGGAAACTCAATAGGGTACATTGAAAGTCTATCAAATGAACTTCTAAGTAAAAGTTTCAAATATCTCAATTACTATGAAATTTTTGCGGTATTTTTGAAGTCTTCTTGTTCATTCATCTAAACCACCAAAGGATACTTCCCCACGTCTCTGTTTTAACTATTTCTAATTCTCGAAGGCGGCACTGATAGAGTATCAAAAATAAAGAGATACATGTTCGAAGAAATAGGATTTTAATTGGACTTTTGAGAATTTTTTCTAGAAAATCATGGCTTGCCAATGACTTGTATTCTGAGCCACTACAAACTGCTCAAACTTCATTCGATTGAGCTGAAGTTTTTTTAAATGTACCTAAGACTATTCCTTAGAGATAAATCTCAACATTTTTGAGAAATCTTAGTTTCTTCTTTTTCTTCTAACGACAGAATTAACTGAGATGCTAATAAACTTATCGATTTGTTATATGATGGCCAGACAGGATATGGCTAGATGTAATATATCCTGGGTGGATTCGTGTCCAAGGAATAAACAATGCTGTATTGAACAAACATTTTGCTATATCTCG